TCTTCTCATATATTTTATGATGGTATGATACTAAACGCCTAACGGGAGGGATTGTGGTTGATTTTCATATGATGAAGACATAATCTTTCAATCAGTTTAATCGAGGTCTGGAGCTGGCATGTCAGTAATTGCTAGTAGTCTCTTGTTAATTTATGTATCATTGTTATTTTGCTTAGTTTCTTAAGTTACCTATTCTGACATCAGACTCGGACTTCTTTTGAACTGAGTTTTACTGTGCGTATTACTGTGTGTTTGTTTATTCTACATTGAGGTATAGGGGGAGGGTTGAGATCTCACAAAAACATGTTTAACCCCGTCGCATTTTTGCGCCTGTCCCAAGTCAGGAGCCTCTGGCCATTGTTAGTCTTGTATGTTTTTTAATTTTAGTTCATTTATATGTTTTGGAGTTTAGTGTGAAGTCCATTTTCATTGAACTAGTACACATTTTATTTAGGGGCTAGCTGAAGCCTGCCTCCGGATGCGGGATTATCTTGCTGTGTTGAAGACCCATTGGTGGCCGTCGGCTGTTTTCTGCTGTTTGGTCGGGTTGTTGTCTCTTTGACACATTCCCCATTTCCATTCTCAATTTTATGCACTTTGTCAATTGCCTAACGAGAAATGCATGTATGCAAACCTGGTATAATTAGTCAATTGTGCAACTCTATCCTTACATACATGAGTTAACAAAATGATAACACAGGTGGCATGAAGCAGATGATAATGAAAACATTAAGTATGTCTGGATATCATTCCACGCATGCAGAGCCAAAACAAATGGCCATCCACTTTTATATACCAGTCCGAATTGAACAATGTTTCAAGAAGTGATAAAATCTGTCACTACGATTCGACATTTCATGAATACAATCCAATGTGCAATCCACTTGTAATCAATCGGGGTTTTTTTGCTGTTGCCAAATCGAAAAGTGGAACTGGGCAAACATATTTTATCCTTTAACTTTACTTTCCGCTATATAGATGATGTTCTCTCACTAAATAATTCAAAATTTGGTGACTATGTTGAACGCATCTATCCCATCGAACTTGAGATAAAGGATACACCAATACAGTTAAGTCTGCCTCATATCTTGACTAACATCTAGAAATTGATATTGAGGGTCGGTTGAAAACAAAACTCTTTGTGAATTTTCCATTTCTATGTAGCATCATTCCAGCAACGTCTGCATACGGAGTATACATCTCCCAGTTGATACGATATTCCAGAGCTTGTATTTCCTATCATGATTTCCTTGATAGAGAATTGATGATCACAAGGAAGCTATTAAACTAAGAGTTCCAAGTGTTGAAGTTGAAATCATCCCTTCGTAATTTTACAGACGCCATCACGAGTTGGTTGATCGTTATGGAATATCCGTTTCACAGGTGATAGCGGATATGTTCCTAATGTCGTAACTACAATCCCGTCCCCTTTTCCCGAATGTGACCTACCGAATTGGACTAATAACCGGGTTTGTACTAACATGAGCAACACGACGGGTGAAACGTGTGGAGCAGGATCTGCTTACCCTTCCGGGGCACCTGCGATCACCATCAGTTTTTGGTGGGGTTCGTTTTGCTCAGTCTTTAGTTTTCTTAGTTGTGTTTTGAGTACTTTTGTTATCTTTTTCTTTTTTAGCCATGGCGTTGTCAGTATATTTTGACTTTTTGAGTTTGAATGTCCCTCTAGTATCTTTCGCCTCTGTTTTAGCACACCGGAGTAGTTTTTCTTTAGGTATTCATATAGGAATGGCATGGCTTAGAACCTTATGTCATTGGTTAGAAAACAGTAATTGAACAAGTGGTCAATTAAGGAAACATACTACTTCATTAACAGCAGATTCTTTTTAGAGGCTCACATTGTGAATTTTTTATATCATCCCTACTAGTGTCCGTCCTCCAGCTTTACCTAATGTTTCGTTGGCAACACTAAAATCCATTTTATCATGGAAAATAACGCCCAGATATTTGTATTGACTTACATATTGTAAACTATTTGGTCCAATCTTGAAATCAAAGTTGCTTTGTGAGACACGCTGTTTTCTAAAATGCATGACATTTGATTTTGAACAATTAACACTAAGTCTCCAGCGTTGGTACCAACTGTACGAAACATCTAAGCAACGTTGCATATCATTTTCGGTCTCTGTTAGAATAACACTGTCGTCTGCATATAAAAAAAGACTGATTTTCTCATTATCACGAGGTATTCCAGTCTCTAGATCTTTAATTTCAGTAACTAAATCGTTGACAAATAGCGAGAACAAAGTATGCGATAAATATCCCCTTGGTGGACACCATTTGAACACTGGAACCAATTTGTACGATGATCATTTACGCAGACACATGATTCTGTGTCAATATATAAGCTACAAATAGCATTATACATGTTTCCGTCAATTCCGTTAAATTGTAGTATTGCAATAAATTTCTATCTACATAATCGAATGCTTTTTGTAGATCCACAAAGGTAGCAAATGCTGATTTCCTGTCCTGAATTAGGCAATTCAAAGAGAACACATGATCCTCGCATGACCTATCTCTTTTAAAACCGTTTTGTTCATCAACAATTAATCCGTTATCTTCTAAATACTGTTGCACTCGATTGTTTAAAGTAGAACTGTAACATTTCGCAATTACCGAGAGTAAACTGATCCCTCTGTAATTCAATGGAATTCTCGGGTCAATAGCAGAACCTTTTGGGATTGTTCGAATAAGTGCTTTCCTCCATAACGACGGAACTTTTCCTGTGTCGAAACAGAACTGTAATAACACTTAGATGTATACACACATTTGGTTTAAACTACTAGTATTCATAAATTAGCACTATATGTACATGTGAATACATCCTAAATTTAAACTGTATCCTTTTATGGCTTTTACGATCTTCACATCACGAACGAGCATTTTTACAGCCTGGGTTTTGTATTTTGTTGATAACGTATGAAGAATGATATGCATTCAGTGACGTTACGCATGAAATATAGCTATTTGACGATGTTAACGGGAAAGTGAAAACAGTATCCTTGCACAGTTTTTAAACTGTACAGAGGTGTTTTCGCAAAATTGACAGTCTTTTAACTACCAAATGATGGCGAATAATAAGAACAAGTAGAGAGGAATACGGCGCATTAATCGGTTTTTCATTGGAGTTAGTATAAGTCGTATCAACTTCACAAATAATACACGATGGTCTTGAAGTATAGATTCTTGATACTGACGTTGTTTATCATCTTAATAACGTGTTATAGTATTCTTTTATTTGTCTTTTTGAATATTACTTTTACTGTTAAGTCTATTTTTGGGGATATTCATTTGACCTGGCTCGGTACTTATACATCCCGTCATTGTGTGATTGTGCTATGGTAAATTGTTGTATTCTTGTCTTTCGTTTTTGCTTATGTGCTTTGTCTATATGCCATTTTGTGATTTTTTGTTACATATTTGTTTGTTTTTATGGTGATTAAGATTATAACACAATGTTGACTGTTGTACCCCTATTTTGACACTTTTACCTATTATGTCTGTTTTGTACACACATCATTGTGAATATAATGGAATTTTAAGCAATTGTCATACAAGTGAGAGGTTAGCTAGCTATAAAACTAGGTTTAATCTACCATTTTCTACATAAGAAAATGCCTGTACCAAGTCAGGAATATGACAGTTGTTATCAATTCGTTTGATGTGTTTGAGCTTTTGATTTTGCCATTTGATTAGGGACTTTCCGTTTTGAATTTTCCTCGGAGTTCGGTATTTTTGTGATTTTACTTTTTTGTATAAAACTGTGTAAACTTACCAGGAAGCATACAAGTTCCGATTAAACAATGGAAACGTATGCTTGCGTGACGTAACTTATCCTGGCCGTGTTTCATGCAAAGCAAAATTTGTTCTAATACAGCAGGAATTCAAGTGTTTACGGATTCAAATAAATAATAAGTTGTCCTCTGAAAGAAATCGTTTTATGTGTATTTCATCTTCGCTAGCTTAGGATTACGATCCAGTCTCCTCCTCTCCACCCTTGGCGGATTAAGACAGAATTTCGGATCCACGATGTAATGATTTCCATTGGTCGCAGCATCCAATCAAAAAGAGCCTTTACGATGATCACGTGTAAATGTAGAACATGTAAATAAACAATTGCCACGTGCAGATTGTGCAACAAGTCTTTACCGCAAAAACATAGGACGATATTTAGTGACAATCTTAAAGATCTTAATCAACTAATTGAAGTTTTTGGGTATGTTTCTCGCGCAAATGTTGGATTGCCAATGTTTATTTTCGGTTCCTTGCTTCACGAAATTTGTAAACACTAGACACAACCGTTTTTACACCTCCCTACTGAAGAGTGTTCAAGTGCTACCATTGGTCAAGAATGATGAAGTCGGAGTGGGCGTGAATTTTGTCTACCGGTAGATGACGCAGCATTGTAATCACCAAAGATTCTGAGATAGTTACATTAAAACAAGTTTAGGGCTTCAGGAGTAGAAACCGATACAAATGTGTACTAAAGTACTAGTATGCAGATAGTACGAAGTATGTGTTATCCCAAAGTTAACCTAAAAAATTAAAACAGATTAAAAGAAATAGGAGGTGCAAAAGTACATCATGTGAGTAAGATTCTTAAAAATATGTCATGCGGGTCAGGAGTAGTTATACACCGTCTGATTAAGAAAATGGGAGTATAAAAAGGGAACTACATTAAGTGGAAAAGTGTATCCTGGTTTCTTATTTAACGTTGCTTATTAAATTATGAACTTTACCATGAAGTTTGCAAACAGTTTTAGAGTATTCAAAATATACGAAGAACGGTTTATTTATTCTCATTTAAAAACAGGAAATCTATGTAACTACGTGTAACTTGAAAAAACAAAATATGTCACACTTCGGAAAATTGTCGGTATGTTGAGCAAACAGCGGAATTCTTATCATAAAACTCTATTCCTTGTAGGTTCATAGACAAAAGGACAAACAGAAGTGGCTTTCATTATATATTTAATTAGTTACTTTATGTAGTTTTAAATACATGTTGCAAGGTTCCCTGGTTGGCTAACCTGGTTACTGTCGTAAACCCAAGCTAGAATGTTGTACAGTTCCCTGTCTTTGTCATAAATATGACGTCTCTCTGCCATCTCGTTAGAACACTGATGGTTATTACAACTGAAAATGAAAATAACAATTCATAAATTTCAAGCGTCCGAAGCGTTTTTCTCGATTTTCATTCCTAAGGAACGTTCAAACCCAAACATATGAAAGTGCAGTAATGTATGTCTATCAAGTTGGTTAAGAAATACAATTACATACGACAGCACAATGAAAATGAAAAATCTAATACCTAATGTGATAATATAGACAGAAAGTCATTTGGTTATAATTTGTAAAGAAACAAAAAGTAATCATTGAATAAAGTATCAAAAATGGATAATTTTGCAACATGAAATTAAACTTTTACTGCTAATAGGAAAATAACCAGATCCCTATATTATCACATGGTCGTTTGCTAACTGTGAAACTAGTTCAAATCTAACGCTGATATTACCTTAGCTGTATATGACAAAACCTTTCGGAATTTTGGGTCCTCAATGCTCTTCAACTTCGTACTTTGTTTGGCCTTTTCATTCGAGCGTCACTGATGAGTCTTTTGTAGACGAATCGCGTCTCTAGCGTACAAAATTTTAACCCTGGTACCTATGATGAGATTAATTATAAAGACAAACGAACTTTCTTTTCCACATTGATAACGTCTTGTAATAAAGTTTATTACAATGTCATCGGGGCTCCTGGACTTAAAGGGTCAATAAAATAGATCATCACGATAGTGTTTACATAAGTGTTGGAAAAAAATCAAAAAGTTCCGACTTTACATGCCCTGATAAAGATGACTTACAAAAAAAAAAAACAGGGCGAGTGTCATTAATAATACATAAGACACTTAACCTGTGTAACCACTTGCCTACTAAGGGTTATGTTAGGAGTTTAACGGTTGTGTTCTATTTATTTTTAGTTTAAAGTCATATGAAACGAGTTTCTAAAAACTTTAACGTTATCGAAACTATTGAACCAATGCATGCAGATATACTAAACTAAGTCTTGTTTGCATGTTTTTTTTTTAATATTTTTTACGAATCTATAATTTATTCGACAAATAATATTTCATTCAGTGATTGTTGATTGCAAGCTAATTGACTTTCGAGTTGTTGCCGAAGTTTACCGGATCGTGACATTGATAAACAACAAAAACAGAGCACGTGGAAATCGTGACAGATAAGTGAATTGACATGGTTTTTTTATATTTTCCATGCGTTCATATTTGTTATTTTAACTTTTCCTTAACAGTTATTAAATGATTTGTTGTATTTAATTTGTTCTTTAAGAATCTGTTTTTACTATTTACCTTCCATAGCACGTTTGTTTACATTCTTTCATTACGATTTTCCACTCGCACTTGCGCTGTGTGGTGGCCGAAGTTATAACGAGAGGTCTCGTATTTTAGGCAACTGCATACGGAAAAAATATCGGCGAATTAGTGACTAGGAAGTCAATTATTCAATATCGGTACATTTTCGAAGATTTTGATAATGTAAAGGATTTTCTTTTAAAAAAAGTTCATGTTCACTTCTTTTAGAGAAAAGCTATTTAGTATATAAAACATATTTAACTTTTTTTAATTTGAAGTTTCATATGATTTTAATGTAGATTTTTATAATATATTTATCTGTTCATGTTGCGACTCGTCTGATACATTGGTCAACTTGTTATTTGCTTCCATATTCATTGCTTTAACCACCAATATAATGTGATCTTTATCTCTATCTAACTGAATTATGTTAATAACCATATATAATACGTAAAGATGTGTAAACAAAATGATTGTGTCATTGACTTGATATGCACTTATAGTTTGCATTTTCATATTGTATTACCCACACGTAAAAGTAAAATCACAAAAATACTGAACTCCGTGGAAAATTCAAAAAGGAAAGTCCCCAATCAAATGGCAAAATCAAAAGTTCAAACCCATCAAACGAATGGATAACAACTGTCATATTCCTGACTTGGTACAGTAATTTTCTTATGTAGAAAATGGTGGATAAAACCTGGTTTTAAAGTTAGCTTAACCTCTCACTTGTATGACAGTCGCATCAAATTCCATTATATTGACAACGATGTGTGAACAAAACAAACAGACACGTTAGGTAAAAATGTCACAAATAGGGGTACAACAGCAATACGAACCCCACCAAAACTGGGGGTGATCTCAGGTGCTCCGGAAGGGTAAGCAGATCCTGCTTCACATGTGGCACCCGTCGTGTTTCTCATGTTATTACAAAGCCGGTAAATAGTCTAATTCGGTAGGTCACATTCGTGAAAAGGGAACGGGATTGTAGTTACGACATAAGGAACATATCCGATATCATCTGTGAAACGGATATTCCATAAGGGTCAACCAACTCGTGATGGCGTCCATAAAATTTACTGAGTGATGATTTCAACTGCACCATTTAGAATTCTTGGTTTAAAAATGAAAAGGTCATGATTGGGAAGCTGAAATCATCTCTTTTGTTTTAAAGTTTTGTTTTCAACCGACCCTCATAGTCAATTTCTAGATATAAGTCCTAATCGAATGGCAAAATCAAAAGCTCAAACACATCAAACGAATGGATAAACAACTGTCATATTCCTGACTTGGTACAGGCATTTTCTTATGTAGAAAATGGTGGATTGAACCTGGTTTTATAGCTAGCTAAACCTCTCACTTGTATGACAGTCGCATCAAATTCCATTATATTGACAACGATGCGTGAACAAAACAAACAGACACAATAGGTTAAAATGTCAAAAATAGGGGTACAGCAGTCAACATTGTGTTATCATCTTAATCACTATAAAAGCAAACAAATGTAACGAAGAAGCATTAAAAGGCATACATCAAATTTAACATCCTCATTTTGCTTATATTATACGATTTTATTTATCAATGTAAAATCCATCCATAAAGGATGGACGTTTTTAAGTACTGGCGTAAAATTGCGTGTTTGAAATTCGCACAGGTAGACATAAAATAATTTTGTCGTTCAAAGTATGACGGGATACATAAATACAGAGTCACGTAAAATGGATATCACAAAAAACAGACTTAACAGTAAAAGTAATATTAATAAATAAAATAATTGTGTGGTTCAAAGTATGACGGGATACATAATTACAGAGTCACGTCAAATGTATATCACAAAAAATAACCAGACTTAACAGTAAAAGTAATATTTATAAATAAAATAACTTTGTCGTTCAAAGTATGACGGGATACATAAGCACAGAGTCATGTCAAATGGATATCTAAAAAAACAGACTGAACAGTAAAAGTAATATTAATAAAGACAAATAAAAGAATACTATAACATGTTATTAAGATGATAAACAACGTCAGTACGCAAAATCTATACTTCAAGACCATCGTGTAATATTTGTGAAGTTGATACGGAATATTTATCAACAAGTTCTTGGTACCTTCCGATGAAATTTTTTAGAAAAAGGACGAGACGTTCTTTGACATACCCCTGGTTCATCAACTTTCTGCTCAGACACTGGTGACGTTTTACAAAGTCTGAGTAGGAAATTAGTTTTCTTGGTCAATCTTTATACGGCATTGCATGAATTTTTCGTACCTCTTACGAACTATCCAAGTTAAGAATCTGTTTTTACTATTTAACTTCTATAGCACGTTTTTTTTACATTCTTTCATTACGGTTTTCCATAGCACGTTTGTTTACATTCTTTCATTACGATTTTTTAATATTTTTTACGAATCTATAATTTATTCGACAAATAATATTTCATTCAGTGATTGTTGATTGCAAGCTAATTGACTTCCGAGATATATAAATTCAGGACCACATTTCTAAAAGCTAGTGCTAGTATTCAAATGTGTTTGTGCGTTTAAAAAAAACCTATATTTTCAAAAGTCATATGACACGTGAAATCTGTCATCTGACGCATTATGAATGAGTTAGATATTACTTCAATTCGCAAGTTGTTTATCGCGTGCGATTAAGAGAACACTTAAAGCTTTTCTATTGTGAATGATAACGACTGAGTTGTGGTGGACATATATATGTTCAGCTGGATTATATTATGGATATAATTCATCTAACTTCTGTAAATGTCTGACGAAGATAAGTCATTACATTCAGACGGACATTGAAGTCAGAACTGAGATTTTTCCATTGTTCGATCTAATCCTTAGAGACTGCATGCGCAGCAAGAAAGCAACACGTACCATGTTTGTATGTATTTAGGATTTTTCTCGACTGGAAATTGTACTTGAAATTTCACGTATCCTTGATATGCACGTTATTCATTTACATAAAATTGAGAATGGAAATGGGGAATGTGTCAAAGAGACAACAACCCGACCATAGAACAGACAACAGCAGAAGGTCACCAACAGGTCTTCAATGCAGCGAGAAATTCCCGCACCCGGAGGCGTCCTTCAGCTGGCCCCTAAACAAATATATATACTAGTTCAGTGATAATGAACGCCATACTAAACTCCAAATTGTACACAAGAAACTAAAATTAAAAATAATACAAGACTAACAAAGGCTAGAGGCTCCTGACTTGGGACAGGCGCAAAAATGCGGCGGGGTTAAACATGTTTATGAGATCTCAACCCTCCCCCTATACCTCTAGCCAATGTAGAAAAGTAAACGCATAACAATACGCACATTAAAATTCAGTTCAAGAGAAGTCCGAGTCTGATGTCAGAAGATGTAACCAAAGAAAATAAACAAAATGACAATAATACATAAATAACAACAGACTACTAGCAGTTAACTGACATACCAGCTCCAGACTTCAATTAAACTGATTGAAAGATTATGTCTTCATCATATGAATATCAGGCACAATCCTTCCCGTTAGGGGTTTAGTATCATACCATCATAACATATATGAGAAGAACATAACCCGTGTCATGCCAACAACTGGTTTTTAAATAAATGTGTTTAGTGCCGATGCAAAGACCCTATAAGTGAATCAATATTAACGCCAAAATATGCAATCTTTAATGACCTGACAACAGTATCGTAACTATATCCCTTCTCAATAAGTCTATTTAAAGGTTTTGTTAGCTTCAGAGGTGAATACTGACATTTTTGTGCTTTATAAAGAATATTTCCATAAAATTGGATGTGAAACACCTGAACGTATAAGAAGTCTGCATGTTGAGCTATATTTACGAATGATGTCCTTATACCGATGATAAAATTTAGTAAATGTTTTGACTAGTTTGTGATATCGAAAACCCTGATGTAATAATTTTTCAGTAATACATAAATTTCTCTCGTTAAAATCTAAAACATTGTTACATACACCCACATTTGTTGCCGTGTAAAATATTAATGTTCACATAGGCAAAGATAAATAAATTCAGTACCACATTTGTAGAAGCTAGTGCTAGTATTCGCATGTGTTTGTGTGTTTTAAAAAAACCTCTTTTTTTCAAAAGTCATATGACATGAGATTCTTGAAATTATAATGTTTTGGAAAATTGTGAACCAATGCATGTATATATATATACTAAGCTAAGTTCTCTATGCACGATTTTTTTTACAATTATTACGAATCCTTTATAAATAATCGACAAAAAATATTTCATTCAGTAAAAATTTTCCCTCCTAATTAACTTTCGCTTTTTATGGCGAAGTTTACCGATCCTGACCTTAATAGACAATCAACATAGACTCGTGGAGCACGTGTAAAAAAAGTGGGGTGATATACACGTATTAGCGATGTTTATTTTTTTTAAATATATATTCCGTGCGTTTCTATTTGATTATTGAATTTTGTCATAACAGTTTAATAATTTGGTGTATTAAGTTGTTCTTTCAGAATCAATTAACAATATTTTCTATCCATTGCACGTTTGTTTACATTCTTTAAATCACGGATTTCCCCGCATTTGCGCACTACGGTTGCCGAAGTTCTATCGAAGGGTCTCGTGGTTAAGGTCACTGCATACATAATGATTGGCGGCGATTTAGTGTACGGGAAGACAATAATTCAGTAGCAACACATTTCTAAAGATTTGATAAGGTAAAGGATTTTATTTTAAAAGAAAGTTCATGTTCAAGTGTTTTTATAGTAAAACTTAGCCATTCAAGTATATAAATAAAATTGAGAATGGAAATGGGGAATGTGTCAAAGAGACAACAACCCGAACATAGAGCAGTCAACAGCTGAAGGCCACCAATGGGTCTTCAATGCAGCGAGAAACTCCCGCACCCGGAGGCGTCCTTCAGCTGGCTCCTAAACAAAGTATACTAAAACATATTCAACTTTTTGTTTTAAATTTGAAGTATCAGAAAATTATGAAATGAAAAAGCACTTTGTAAATTTACGGCGTTCGAAGCACTTTCCTGGATTTACCAGGAACGCTAAAAGACAATCATTGAAAGCAAAGGACGTATAAATATCCGAATATTGGAGGATCCATATGACAAAAAAATCAGGACCTAAAAAGAATTGTCAGATTCTTCTAATGTCAAATTTGTCTGAGGGAGTTGGAGCCATAATTTCTTAATCATTTCGTAATTTGTAACGGATAATTTAAGAAAATTTGTTATAAATCATGTCAGAAGCGAGGAAATGACTGATAAGCTGATGATATTTTCAGTTACTAACAATCCACCAGCAGTCCTCTCCATCTGAACCGTTCAAATCAACGTTAATACGAACTTGAAAATATTAACCGAACACGCGAATGATTGGTTCAATGTCAATACTTGACGTCGAATATTGTTGAAAGTGACATACTGTGTTAACCCTTAATTAAACGAGGGTTCATAAGGCAAGATAAATATAATGATCAGACAGAACAAAAAATAAAGTAAACACAAGCTTCGATAAAAGCCAGAAATCGAGAACTTACGATGACATTACATTTCCATGTGGGTTTCTATGATCTGCGTTGAACCAAGCTGATGTACCTTGCGCAAAATATTCTTTATCGTTAGACATAGCATACGATGATGCACTCCAAGTACCATGACTTCTGGCAGCGTTATATGCGTTAGTTATCTTAAAATAAATGTCATACAATATATATGATTAACATTTAATCAATATAAGTACATTAGATGCTAGCAATTTATAATAATGCCTTTATTGAGATGCATTTTTATAAAACCGTACAGCCGAGGTGAAATATTAACTGACAATATGTTTCATAAAACATGTATAACTGCTATGTCATTCTGGGTCTATTGTGTCAGTGAAAAAACATCTGATATATTAATTCAGGAATTTACATTTACGGATATTCTAAATTGAAGAAAAAAGCTCAGATCATACGAAATTCTATAAAACTAGAATCGAATTAATTGCTCTGAAAGGAGGAGTATCTTATATCTCGTCCGCATCCGTCTAACACGCCTTTTCAGACAAAAAGTCAAGATACTCTAGCAATATTTAAAGAAGTAAATGGTATCTCATTATGCTGTAATTGAACCTTTGTAAAGATCAGATAAAGAATTTATACTAAATCCGTATGATATGTATTGATTGATATCTAAGTCTGGGAATACATGATAGATTTGTAAGTTGTTATTGGCTTTGAACAAGACCTTTCCAACTGATTTTTACAACTTGTTCGTAGTTTGTCCTGTTACAACGCTATCACAGGTTGTGGTGAATGGGGTTGGCGCTCAGAAACATGTTTAACTTTGTAACTTATCCATTAAATGTGTGTCCTGATTGATATTTTAGTCTGGGATTTTTTTTATTTGTGTTAAAGGGCTTTGAACTTGCTTTCAGTAACGGCGAGTACTCTTATATCGGTATTTTGTGTTTTGTCTGTCCCACAGAAGCTAATAAGTCTCTGTTTATCATTGATTATTGTTTGCAAAAGTTGCTTTGGTTTAGAATTGAGTGGAAGTTTCAAATAAGCAATTATCGATTCAATGTTTTATAAAAAAGCAGGAATTATACCAAAGTGCAGTAATTTTGTTTTTTTGATAAATTAAACATAGCTAGATTTGTATCGTAATCATGTTACAAAACTGTATACATGGATTTTGCTCACTGTTGTAGACCGTAATTAGTGAGTTTTCTATTGACTGTTCCAATCGTCGTCATAGACGGGCCAAGTTGTATTCTTATCGATCAAATGATACACCATCCATGATCTGTAGCACGGTCCGACGTGTCTCCATGCAGAGTTGTCGTGTTACGGGCGTGACTTGTTTTCGTTTTAAAGTTTTGGAATAGTACAGAAAGGCATGAATAGTGACAAGGTATATTTTTTTCCGCCTTAAAATTTACGAAATATGATGATTATTTTCATTATTTCATGCGCATGACAAATGACCCCAAATCAATTCGAAATGAATTAAGGTTTAAGCAATTGATTTTTTGTAATAACTGTCAAAAGGTTGTAACGGAGTAGTATTTAGAAAGTATTATGACTATTCGCAAGATATGCTCTACATAAGAAAACCGTTTTTTACCCGTGATTTCATGCTTCCATCAAGCGCATAGCCGTGAATTGTATGAGCGAATTCATGTATCAGAACATTAAAGCCATAACGATAGGGATCTTGACTGTCACACAACAGATTGTCATCTAGAATGGAAGCCAAACGACCACCGGAACCAGCTGTAGTTGACCATTTCCTACCATCAAACGTACATGTAGATGAACAACTACCACTGCAGATTCCTTAAAAAAAACCGATTTGATAAAGAAGAGAAAATCACAAAACGTAGTGAAAAATCGTAAAAAATGGACAAAAAGACAAATGACGATGAATAAATAAAGACATTCTAATTAACTTAAAGTATAAGAAAGGTGAGTCTTCACAAGATATTTTTTCATTTTCCATTTTTCCGATTAGATAAAATTGCTTTTGTTTAATGAATCAGATTATCTTTCAATGAGTTCCTTATTCGGACAAAAATTCTAGCCCCATTCTCTTACTTTCATATTCTTGATTACGGTTTTGGAACTGATTGAACTGTAAAACAAAATGATGAACATATGGTATTCATAAACATGTTTACAAGGTATTTAATGATTTTTAAAAATAATTATAAAGTTCAATAGTTGTTTAACAATTGAAATCACAAGTATCAGATTTCGTTTTGGATATATTTTTAATGTAAGATTACTGGGCAATTGAATAATTTTGTATGCTGATTTATGAAAAATAAGTCAAAAATGAAGAAAAGGGGCAGCTGAATATAAATGTGTACGAAAAAAAAAATAAGTCAATAGTGAGATGTAAGGAGAAACCCATGTTAATCTATTGATAGAGTACAATTAACGGGCCTTGCTTCATATATAGCATCCCGTGTTGTCGTGTACACACTTAACATTATCATAGTTTTGATAAAATGTTAAGGCAGTCGAGATCTGGTATATTGCTTGTTGCTTGTCATTGAATTTTGATTGTTGAACAAAGCACTATTTTATTCCAATAAAAGTGAAAATATCAAGACATTGTAAAAATAATTGTGATTCAATGTGGAAAGATATGTGGCCAAAATAGAAATTTATACAACGAAAAGTAACCACAAACGAAAGCAAATATATAAAACTAAAGGCAAGCTACATGGACTCCACCGAAATTGGGATGAAACTTACACCCGTAGCGGTTAACCGAATATGATGGAGCCCATAGAACTTCCGAAGTGATGATTTGAATTCAATTAGCATGAATCTACGTATAAGCCGTTCTCTCTTCGACAGCAATCCGTTACCCAGGAATTATAGATAAAATGTACAGACCATGCAATATCGTGTTAATTTAGAAACATGAACGCCATATGCAGGTGCTGTCAGAAAATGTTACTTCAAATGAAAGAGACACTATTGGTAGAATTGAGTCTCGACGACATTGAAAAATTTGTAAAATCTATGTTACAACATGTTTTCGTTTTAAACCTAGACAGTAATTTAATCTTAAGTTCTTGGTTTGACACCTGCCGATTTTGTATTTAACAATTTTCGTCTCTCCTGTAGATGACTGGTTCATAAGGCTACTTCTATATTATGTTTGTTTGTGTTTCTTGTAAATAACTTTATCAATCTCTTTTATTACAACATATTGAAATGAACTCTCTCCATTGGGCTAGAGGTATAGGGGAAGTGTTGAGATCTCACAAAACATGTCAGGAAATTCTGGCCTTTGTAAGCCTTGTATGTTTTTTAATTTTAATTCATTTATATATTTTGGAGTTTAGTTTGACGTCCATTTTCATTGAACTAGTAGTCATTTTTGTTTAGGGGCCAGCTGAAGCCCGCCTCCGGGTGCGGGATTTTCCTCGCTGTGTTGAAGACCCATTGGTGGCCTTCGGCTGTTTTCTGCTCTTTGGTCGGGTTGTTGTCTCTTTGACACATTCCCTATTTCCATTCTCAATTTTAATTGTCTGATCTGAAAGGTGTTATAATGCAGTTAATTGGGAAAATGATCTACATAGAATACGCAATTTTTAGATTAAAGCGTACGGAACATTCTGTATTTTCATAATTACCTCTACATTCTGGTCTATCTGCCATATACGCGTAATCAGGGTAAACTGCCATTGATTCGGCCTTTGTGAACACACCAACTTGTGCTCTTGATGCAAGAGTGTGACAATATGTTGAAGGCATATGTGCTACCATTCTGCTGACAATTACTGCAGCCTGGAAGAAGTTAGAGGCTCTAAAGATCATGTATTGCTTACATGATTAACAACAGAGGACTACACAAAAAATTTTATTAGCTAGACTAGTTATTAATACAATGCAATTTTGTCAAAAGATTTAATTTTCCAATATTCTAATGACTCCAATCACAGGTCTTAGTTTCCATTTTTGATGACATGCTTGCTAAAACACATTCGACATATCGCAGACCGTCTAAGAAGTATAACTGCCAAATTTGTCACCATTTGGATTAATGGTTGATTTCGACAAATAACAGTGGTGACTATATTGAATGACTGGACGGTTATGCAAGAGGATCATCTAAGGAGTATTTTAGTAAAGTTTGGTTCAATTTGGCTAGGGCATTTGTTTTATAACTATTCTTATCATTCAACCAATCACTGCTCATGGCGGGCATCTTGGAGGTACGTCTGGCTTATCTGATAGAATTTTGGGATGTATTCCTGCCAAGAATGCCTCAATTTGCCGAGGTGTAGTTTAGCCCTAAGATCTATTTATAGGAATAGCGGCCATTTTGATTTGGTAGCTAGGTCATCAGACAGTCTACCCCCTTAGGATGATTCAGACCATCTTTTGGTTTAAATTCGCCCAGTGATTTCAGAGGAGAGGGATATTTGAAATAGTTTACGGACAACGGCCGAGGTCGCATCGTTATTTTTAGTTACGATGAACTACTCTGCTTTATAATACCCTTGTTAAAGTTGAGGGGATGACACGTGGGTGCTCATTTCCTTATTCCGCTTTTTGTAAATTTTCTCACTTCCCACTTTTTTCTTTCTTTTGTCCCAGATTCCACTTTTTCTACCTGACGCCGCAGCTTACTTGCAGCAGCTTCTAGTATGTAGCGGGCAGGGGCTTGAAATGCTTGACCCAAAAGTTTTCCTCAAAATTATGAGTATTTTGGAAATTGCTAAGTCAGTATGACAAGATATGATCTGGTCAGTATAATATAAGCATTTGTTAAAAGTAACATATATAAGTTTCTATATTTTATTCATTTTGAGAATCAGAGATTTTCATTAATATTCAGGATAAATAACAATTTTAAGTAGTAAGATAATTAAATTATAGACTCTTAAATGATATGACAAGAATCTATTCAGTATACATGTAATAATTTATCTCTACACTCAAGAGATGATTAATAAAATCTTTATGATTGCAGGATAACTTTGGCCGTACAATTCAAATAAAAATAACACTTGCTATTACCAATATAATTGTATGTTGGTGTGTCAGAAAAATACTTAAAAGGCTGATTCCTGCTATATTACTAAGAAAATAAAATACCCTTACAGAAAATACTAATTTCAAGTGAATTTAGTCAGAATACCTCTTTCTGACAGTTTTGTAAATAGTAATAACTCATACCTCACCAGTTATATAAAAAAAAATGTTTATTATCATTAGTTATATTCAGAACCTTTCCTGAATAACTAACAATAAAATACAATTTATACCTTAAATAAACTGTTTTGTTTATTATAATTTCCAGACCTTTAGGAAATTATCCCTTAATTGCCTAATGTTTTCCTATTTAATTTTATTTATTAGAAGAAAAAAACAAACGTTAACAGTCATGAAATACAATGTCAATGAACAATTTCAATAATCCTAACTTTAAAAGATAAACTAGAAATAAAGCTTTGCCAGCAATAATACGATAATTAACCCAAAAGATATTTTAAAACAGTTTTAAGAACTTTCCTAAATTTACTAAAAGAATAAAATACTTTAAGCAAAAGATCAAAAATGTAGGAGTCCGGCTCCTAAGAGTCCGCTAAAAATGAAATTTTCCTTTCTAACTTAGAAAACGCTAAATTTACTATTTTCCTTTACAATTTAACCCCCCCAAAAAAATGAAGTTTGTGAGAAAAATTAACCATATTGACAAAAATTACTGATGAGCGAAATAAAATACTAACTGTAACGACCAAAGATTTAAGCAGAACTGACGAACAAGCGTCGAAATTACGTCAATGTTGGATTGTTGGCAAAGTTGGAAAATTGTTGGATCGCGCGCTTGCTGTCCAACGAAATATTTGAATTCTCAAATAAATTACAAAAATCATAATAATATACAATTTTAGTAACAGTCATATAATAAACAAATTTTGCATGGTACTAAACAAATTTCTATAGTAGCTAAAAATACACCAATAAAACTTCACCGGAAGTCACAATACGTAAACAACATTGCCAAAAGTTATGTGTGTCACCGGCTAACCAAAATGACAAATATCAAGGATAGTGAGCATTAACATCTGCAAAACATTGAAGACGTTGACTACAAATACTAAAAGGAATTACAAAGAGTATTTGAAAACAGTTGCCGAAACGTAAAAATAGTGTTTTTATTGAAAAATCGTCCCAAGTGACACATGGGTTCCACTGCGCATGTCAGTACATTTCATTCATAAAATTCAAGCAAGGTGCGTCGATTTACTACGAGATTTACTACGATCTACTACAGTTGCTACAATTGGATCATCACAAAAATACAAGACATTCAGTGGATTATTACTATGAACTGGTAAATTATAACATGAACTTCAAATAGTTTATCAAATATTCAAATGACAGTAATTCAATATTTCTAGAAAATCATAATATTGTAATTGTTCTAACTTTACTTAATTAAATGTTAATTAAAACTTATTTGCTTCAATTATGAATATGTTTCAGACTACAATCATTACAAGTAATATAGTACAAGTTATTTCACACAGTTACTGTTTCCTACATAATAAGACTTTCATAAAAAAAAAACAGAATATTAAACAATATGCTTTATTAATACCAATTAAAACATACATCAAAAATATATCTTCTCCCTGTCTATGTAAACTTACATGTACATCACACATGTCACAATAAAATACATGTACCTTAGTCTTCGTACTCTACAAGTACTTCAAATTTTACTAGCAGTGATCCGACCCCCACCTGTTTCATAACTTGATATTCGTCACAGAATTTCTAACGGATATAGGGACGGAAAGGATGTGTTTACTGCTTTTTCTCTCATAAATATTCTTTTTATCGCTTTAAAAGAGAAACACTAGAAAGCCTGCTGAACTTAGCGAGGTCCACAAACTGCGCGTTTGTAAATGATGCAGAACGAAATTACAGGCTATCACATCTATACTATTAAATGAGAAAACCTCATTTTGTGTGTCGCTTCTCTTCTTTCCACAATAAATTAATCACCATGCCTCTGTATCCTATAGGTACCATGCATAGTCGAATTTGTCATCCTCGCTTATGATTATTCAGTTTGGGTTATTTTGGGAGAAAAACGAAAATAAAGGCGTCCGAATATTGTTTCTGTCATCGGACAGACTTTTAAGTCATGGGCAAGACTTCCATTTAGGACAATTATTTTCGCGTTTTACTGAACACCATGATCATACATATACTATAAATAAAGTGTATTTGCTATTTACTATCAATTCAAAGTTTACTATCCGCGGCTGTCACTGATATAAAATATAGAGAGTCTCTATAATGACTATATCGCCTAGGATAGTATTACAACTTGGAATTGATAGTAAATAGCAAATACACTTTATTTATAGTATATGTATGTTCATAGTCTACAGAAAAACAGAAAACAAAAAATAACGGACTTTGGAAAAAAGGGGGAGGGCTACAAAAAATTGTCCTATCACCAAGTACCTATAACTTTTGATACCTCTCCTGAAATTCTCAAGTCATAAAATCTTTTACAAAAATTCATCCTACAATAGTTTACATACTTTCAACCAACTCAACGATTTCGCGGGTGTGTTCTAGTGTAAATAGAGTTATGTTGAACATGCTGTTGCTCAGATTACAACCCTTCTTTTAATCAATGTTAGTTCTGCAACATTTTACAATGAGATTGGCAGGAATATTCCTATATTTAGCAGGATTTAAGAATATTTCGTTCACTGGCCTAAAATAAATGCACGGAGATACAAACGGGGTACATGGCATAAACTTATTGACACCGTGGGAGTGAAGCAAAATCAACAGAGATCTTTCGTCCACAAATGGAGACACAGGCACTTTATTATTCCGGTCATGGACATTATCAAGCCATATAACCGCAGCTGGTTGTAGGCAATGCTGGGTATATTTACTACAATGATGTAGCAAACAATTTGGAAGAGATGTTCCGCTACATTTCCAAGAAGACTGTTTCTTTTTGGACACAAAATAAATCAAAATCGTCGCCCTTCGTGACACCATTTACCACATCTCAAATTAACCGTAAACAGGAAAATTTGAAGAAAGAGTTCAAAATTTAATCGTATTGTCGCTGAATATAGAATTCAAGTTGAACATCAAACTGGTGAATTAAAAAGTTATAAATCAATGAGTACATTACTGGAGGCATCCGAGACCAAAATTAACTGACAATGTAGAAACACGTGCGCCCTTGTCAATAGACATAAAACATGTTAATAACATCTACTACAAGACTGCAGATTTGTTTTTCTATTTTCCAAATTGCATCAAGGAAGTTAGCGGCTAAACGTCTATAAAATGAAATAAAATATTGAAGCCCTTCCTGTGCTTCATACTCATTCAAAACATAAAGTTTATTTCAATTACCAAATACTTAACAACCAAAACAAGAAACGGTGAAAAATAATTGGGTAAATCCATACCATTTTGACTCTGTTGAATAGTTGTCTCATTGGCAATAAAAAATTCAAGCAATTAAACCACAAATTTTACTCATAAACATTATGCGATCAGAACTATTTTTTTTCAATTCTAATTTTTGAGACGACCAAACATCTTACCTTGTCGTAGCCGTTATCAACTGTAGGCGAAGACAATTGTTTAAAAGGTCTATTAGGAGTTGACATTTCAGGAAAAGAAAATGTTGAGATGTTTAAAACGAATTAATTTAATTTAACATCGCACCAGATTGAGTATCGTCTTTAGATTTATTCAACAAATTTTTGCTTTAATATCCGTGTATATAACAAAATTTGCGAATAATAAAGATTAATTGTTGTTGAGAAATGTAACAACACATTACAGTTCAGTTAAATACCTTTTGGTGTGCTGCATTAGAACTAGCTGCTGTTGCTGCAATGTCTATACTATTTGCAGAATGGTAAGATATAATTGATCCACTACCACAGACTACATATTTATGTTTGAAGGATGTTCTTTTTGTTGATAGTTGAGCAGAATATTTTGAACTAGAACATGTTATTCTAGTGAAGGCCTCCGACCTGAAAGGTTAAATCGAAATAAATGAAGCAATTATGTAAGTATTTATAAATAACTACCAAAACATTAAGTATAAATGAGAACTTCGTATTTGGTTGTGAAGCAAACACCGATAAAAAACGATAATTTTTTTATGATTCGTGATCGTCGTTCTTATTGCTCTCGCGTGTGTGTGCGTAATTTCGTATGTAGTTGAGTGGTTCGGGTTGGTTTTATATTTCTGAGCCTTACATTATAATAAAGTTATGCACGATTATAATCAAACCTTTAAGCAGTGTTGAGCCTGTAGACCTAAAAACTGAACAAAGCAACTCAAAATAAAAAAACAAAATGGCTTCAGAAAAAATGCATAGATATGTGTTAGGAAAAGCACAAGATATAAAAAAGAAAAGAAATCGACAACTAAAATAGAAAGACAAACAAGAGACAATATGAAAAAATAGAAAAATAACGACGAGCAACACGAACCCCACAACAAACTAGGGTGAACTCAAATGCTCTCTGAGGGAATCAATTCCGTGTCCTACAATAGCACGTACCGTAATATTCAGGGTAATGGTCAACGTTCTCAAAATTTCATAAAGGAGGCAAAGGAAAATTAAGAGAGGACGACAGTTCAAACTACTCTTGTGAGGCAGACACATCGTACTAACGGACAAATAGATTTGTCAAGAATATATCAAATTTTATTGAGTAGAGATTTTCAACCAGCCAAATTGCTTCCTCGTAAATTGTTCTGCCCTTGTTAAAGATGTTTTGGGCAATAACAAACCTTTATACAAATCTATCTGTTTATAAAAATTCGTAAATGTGTCTCGTGTGCGATACTGCTGTCAGTGTAAAAGTGTAATGTTGAATACCAAAAACTGTCAATTTATCAGTAAAATACAGAAAAAAAAGAAAAAGAAGTTTATTTCCAAGTTTGAAAACATTCCATGAAGGTATTTTAAAGTAATTGATATCTAAACAAATGTAATCCCAGACTGTATGTAAATAATGATAGTAAAAGAGAAAACTTACTTAACTAATTGGCAAAATAAGGAAAATTTTGGTCCAGATGAAATTTCTGCCAAACTGTTCTGAATTCTTTGAAAGTTTGACAAATTTATAGATTTCCAAACATTTTTAATCTCAGACTATCTAAATGATTGCTGCAAAAAGAAATAGTCCATTCATCAGTAAAATACTGAAAAATAAAAATAAAAAACTCTAAGTTTTAGTCTAGATACTGTCTTTTGGTCATACAAATCTTCTTTCCATGATAAAATTCCATGAAGGTTTCACAAAGTTATTGATGTCTCAAAACACTTTAACCACATACTGAACTTAAATTTTAACGACGCCGACGACGGCGATATCGACGACGATCTATAGGATCGCTGTGCCTCGCTTCAGCGTCAAAATGTCGTGTTTATAGATTTTATTTAAGTAAGACTGAAGAAGGGTAGTTTCTAAGCAGAGATCTGAACAAATGGGCCTAAAAGTGTACAAAAAATGTTTGGCGAGGGCTGTTAGTTGAACATTATGACGGGACACCATAACTATTTTGAAAAAAGGTGCCTATCCCTCGCTTACATTTAATAAACATGTAATCACTATATGCGTACTGATTTTTTTATTAGTTTTATTGGATTTGAACTAGCTTTTAGTAACTGAGAGTACTCTCATATAAGTACTTTGTGTCTTTATTGTTTTTGTTAGTTGTTTTGTGCTTTGTATCGATCTGATGAGGCAAGCCAATTTCAATAGATTTTTATGGTTTGTTTTATGTTCTTAGACCGTTAGTTTTGCCGTTTCAACTGTTTAACATTTGTTATGTCGGGCACTTTTATAGCTTTATATGCGGTATTCGTTTAGCTAATTATTGAAGGTTGTACGGTGACCTATAGTTACTAACCTCAACATCATTTGGTCCTTCATGGAAAATTGACTCATTGGCAATCATACCATATTTTCTTCTTTTAAATCATATCAAAAAGCTTTCCCTGACACGCCCTACCGTCTAAATAATTACAGAAAAGATTATAAATGAAAGTACAGAAAATGAGAGATATATTCATAATTGTTTTTGTTAATACTTACGACAGGATTTTCATCAATGCAGCTTCCTCATTAGTTGGTGGAGGGGTGCAAAGCACACCTTTAAAATAGTGTTTAAAAAGTGAACATTACATATTGAAAACAATAAACTTATAAGGAATACGCGTAACTGACTTGAGAAATCATTGTTTTATCAATTTAAATTTGCAATGTGCACATGTTTTATTAATATGAGTGCACCATTGAGCACCATTGAGCCACCGTATATTTCAGATATTTTTACCTTTCAGATGCAGGTGAAAATTTAATATCTTTCTATTCTAAATATATTTTAACTATCTAGGTCAGGGCGGATCCAGGGTCCGAGGAAAAGGGGGTGGGGCGTAACTGTCTAAAATGGTAAAAATATAGATCAACCCAACAATTAGAGATACAATGTATAAGGTTGAAAGTATTTGTAAATTTAGTTGGAACCTAAACGTTTCGTGTAGTTATTTCTGCTATACAACGAAAATCAGGACATTATTTCTCGAGTTAAAAATTCAAGAAAGCATTAAAAAAAATGTATAACTACCGCATCAAGATTTATAAAAGACAGGCGGAAGATACCAAAAGAATATTCAAACTGATAAGTCGAAGACATACCGACAACACCATGGCAAAAAAGAATGAACAACAGTAAAAAGACAAGCAGTAGTCTGCAAAACACAAATTGAAAACCAAAGACTGAACAACAAAAACCTTGGATGATCTAAGGTTAAGCAGGTCTTGATTCACATGTGAAACCAGTCATGTTGTTCATGTAAGTACACATTCGGTAATAAGTCTAAATCGGTGATATAATATTTCAATTAAACCAATAATATTTCCCATCGCAAATGCACTTAAATCAATCTGTCAATCAACCAGTTCGTCGTCTCTTATAGACGAATTACATTCGCAGCTTTTAAAGTAAGGGTACAAACATCAGTAGGAAAAGTTTATGTATAAAGTTACAAACGATTAAGTGTACAGTGCTTAAATATTTTTCAAAATATTTGAACTTAAATTTGATCCATATAACATAATAATTGGCGCATTGGTTGCAGTATGTAAATTTATTTCGGAATCCTATAATAAAAATTGGAGGTTGATATAATTCGGACAAAAAAGGTTAGATACTTGATTTACACACTTAACCAAACAAGAATTCAAACCAGCATTCTGCACTTCTTATCATTATTGTGTATGCCTAGTGGTGAATTAACACAACTTAAATGCGAGACTTGGGTGTTTTTAATGATCATGGCATGCAAAGTAGGCAGATGTAATTTTGACAAAATCATAAACATTGATGATATTGTTAAGATATGTTGTGTGTACTGGTGCATAGTTTATTGCATATACAACTAGTGCCGAAACTATTATGTAGTTACATTCACACGTAATAGAAGACCATGTAATGTTTCTCTTTTTCAAAGCACTTCGAAATCTTTGTTATTTTTTTTATCAAGAATCACTCCTGCAGTTCAAACTAATCATCAATGACTCTATTGTATTTGGAAAGCTTGACAATATGAAACAAACCCACAGAAAGATGTTATTATTGAATATATAATTATGTTAGGACTGGTATTGAAAGTTGACGACTTTTGCATGGTCTTCTGATCTACCTCTTTCAAATACAAGTAAATGTATCAACCAACTGGATTAATGGAATATTAAAAACTCACATTTCGAAGAGAAACTGACAACGCAATGGCAAAAAAAACCCATATACAACGAAAAGACAAATAGGTTCTCATAACACTTCATAGAATACTAAAGAATGAGCATCACGAACATCACCCAAAGAAAATGATCTTTAAATTTGTAGATTTGTATGAAAAAAAAATATTGCTTACACCATTCAAGTAAAACACAAATTGTATAGAAAAGTCAAATGTTGTTTTCTGTTCCATCTGGAATGTATTTTGATATTTTAGAATAATCTATGTTTATTGGAAATTGCAGAAATTAAGTGATTTAAATAATTCAGTAATTTTATCTTGAAAAGTAATACATCTAAACAAGATATTAAAGTAAAACTTCTTTGCAAGGGTTATGTTGAAAAATGAAATCATATTTCCCTTAAGATATTTTTCGATCGGCAGCTTTTTGTTTGTACATACTAACAATGTGTCAAACACTTTGTTTTGACCATATTTCAACAAAATAAGTTTTATTTTCAAATGCCTTGAATACATTTTGTAGAGTGTAGCTACAAAGTAAACACGATATACGTCATTGATTATGAAAAAGACGCTTACCTTTCCCAAGCACGTGGAATCTCCCCAGGTTTTGATGTTTTCTTTACTTTGTTTTTTATATTGTCAGTTGAGGTTATTTGTCTGCCCTTAAGACTGTGAGTCGTTGTCTTATTCACCGACTAAGTTTCCTTACCACATACTTACAACTTCTAGTCCAATCAAATTGCTTGAATTTGCCTTATAAGTTTTTTAGTACATATCTTTTCCGTGTACTAATTATTTATGCATGAATGATCACAAGGGTAATATTTCATTGTATCGTAATCAAGATACTAAAAACAAAAGTTGCCACTTGCTGTTTTGGAATAAAATGTTGTGTCACAAATAGTCCATTTGCCAATTACCGATTTGATTCTGTTATTACACACTTTAAAAAAAAATAACTTCCCTTTGCCAAACGTAGACTGGTTCTACCGGACAAAATTGGCTTTTGCCCACGCAAAGCATGATAAGTTAAAAGCGATATATAGGCGTTTTTACAAATGTTTAGTGAAAAATAACTTCTTTTATCGAAAGTATTTAGCTTAACAACAAATTAAATGTAATTAACAGATTTGAAAAACTAAAAAAATTACACACATTACGCAAAGATAAATTTGCTCCTTCCGCTAGCTCTCCATTGTCAATAAAAATGCATGTCCCTCATTAGGGTGACAACTAAAAAAGGGATCTATAATTACAGCGTCAAATACGGGAATTGGCAAACAGACTATTAAAAACAATGTTTGAAATTGGTATTCACATTGATTTTTATATATCCTGCTATTAAAAACTTTTGTTTTAAAAAAATAATTTTTGAAAATTGCAAGTTTCTATCGTTTAAATAAAGAATAAAATATGGCCCTTAATACCTTGATACTAGTATAACGCTATCTTATAATTGTGGTAACTTATCATCCATGCGACTACTTTGCACACAAACAGTATGTACTATGAAACCTTGTGAAGAGAAATCAAGGCAACTTGATGATGATTTTTTTAAACTTTCTTAAGGAACTTGATCCATTTCATCATGAATTGAAAAACCGTGATAATGTCTGAGGGAATGTTCCATCTATATCTATATTCTGATAAAGCTTTTAGTTTTTACTTTGAAAGAAAATTAAAAAAAAATGTAATAGTTGATCTATTGGTAGTGGCATTTTAATACCTATCCGCTAAACTATCTTTGGAAACATATATCTGTATTTTTCAAATATATCATATCTTTAGTTTTACTGCGAAATTGAAATGTGTTTTTTGTCAATTTATTTTGTCATTTTACCAAAATACCATGGAAAGAAGTACACGTAGTAAGACACCGCTTTCAATCAATATACATACTTACACCAGTAGTTACCATCTTATCATTCTGGGGTCAAGGGCCTTTTTAAATCACACAATTGTATGTGAGATTGACTTATAAACCGCTATTTTCCATATTGCATTTATAAACTCGCGATCTGGTAAATCACTGTCACAAATTGAAAAAATATGATACTAGTGAGTAAATTTACAAAACATAAAACTTAGTTAATGAACTCCGTTTTACAAACACATGTGATACAAGTAGTCAGCCAGAATTAAACCTATTACTAGACCAATTAAAAGATTACTTAAGTAGTAAATATGTGTTAAATTGGATAGTCTTTGAGAAGGTATATACTATGAAATTAAATGCACGGGACAAGACCCTTGCTCTTAATTTAATAACTGTACCTTTTCATAGACTAACCTTTACTTCTGTAAGTTGTTAATTCAATTACTGTTTACTTATATACAAAACTTACATATTTCTAATAGTTACCTGCCATTAAACCCAAAAGTAAGAAAACTTTCATTGTACGTCCTTGTAACTAAAGTAGACCAACAACTAAAGGTTTGGTACTAGACATTTGATATAAGTCATACAATTTGATCCTGACATGATATCTGCTGGATCTTTGATAAGATAAGAAAGGCATTACAAGTGCACGGTTAACAATGAGAACTGATGTGTTCAAAATATGTGTGCCCGGTTCAGATTTGATCTATGTTGTTTTTATTATACTATATCAAATGTTCCAATTAAACCCATACCCTTTATATTTGAAGTATATAATTAACTAAATTCCTTGTTACTAATCAATCTCCATTTTTCAGCATTTCTGTAAATAAAGATATGTATGTATCTATGATGTATTTATTAATTGTCTTATCTTTATTTCAGAATCATTATCATTATAATTTACTATTACTTTGATAACTAAAATGAATTAGCTTATGTTTCAGAAAGAATTAACTTTATTGTATTTCATAATAATCAAAATAACAAAAACTCAAAGGAAAGTTTAGAACGGAAAGTCCAATATCAAATGGCAAAATCAAAAGCTGAAACACATAAAACGAATGAAAACAACTGTAATATGACTGGGTACAAGCATTTCCTTATGTAGAAAATGGTGGATTAAACCTGGTTTTATAGCTAGTTTTTAACACTATATATGTTATTGCAGGGTAAACTTGGTCTTAGTTAACTGAGTTAGTGAACTCTTTTCATCCTGTTTTTCACTTGCAGGTTCAATGTTATTCTAATTAGACTGTTTTAGACTGCCTTGTTTGAGTTAATCTTGA